TTTTACTTACTCGTACGTACACACACACACACACACACACACACACACACGCGATTACCATGCTTTCAGAATATTGCTAATCGAAAATTCCTAATTGGATCGGGGATCTCGACCGATCGTAAGAATACATAAGGGAATATAACGGAATCTTGGGAAGATTCGCTTTTGCATTCGATCGATTCCCTTTGTTTGCTCTTTTGTGCAATCCTTGACTCACGAAAATTCGGACAATAGGATTCGGATAAGATGGGTGGAAGGAAGCTTCGAAGATAGTTTATATTATACAAACGAAAAGAAAGCTGAAAGATTGTTAAAATTATTCGATCCGATTATTTTTGTTCCTCTTCTCCTATTTAAAAGTTAATCAATGATCCGTATATTCTGATGATGTAATTCATCGTTTAACAATGAAATTTCAGTTTGATTTCAATTATCCTCAAATAAAAATTAAACTGTAATTGAAATCTATTGTTGAAAACACTTATATACGAATACAGAGAGAAAGATATTCGATATATCGCAGCAAATTTGGATTACACAAAATTAATATCGGTGTTACGACATTCAATTCCGTTTACATATTGTACAAACTATCTTTACAATGTGTTCTAACGATAAAAAATATTGTATTTCCGTTACGAGCTGTTCAATTTTCAAGATTAAATTCGAAAGACGAAGACAATCTCTCAAAAATTGCTTTCAATTGTTCCAATCGATTCTTTTTATTTGAATTACGTATATATATATATACACACAATTCCTGGCTCCAATTTTCTCTCAAATGGACAAGAATTTTTACCAGAGGTAGAAATCTAATCGTTGATGAAATACGTTACACCCTATCAACTTTATATTTATCCATCCCCTGAAATTTAAAAATCTGAAAATTCTTTATGCAAATAAAGTAAAAATAAGATAAAAAAATTCTGAAAATTGATGTATCTTTTCGACTCGATCAATTGGACGAATTGTAAGAGATATAATAGCTTTGCTATTGCAATATATACGTGTGTATACGATACACAGATAATATAATTGGGGATGATTTTGATGCATCGATCCCGTATAATCAAGCCTGTCTAAAATACTACGGTATTAAGAGCGATATGGCATGCAATTTATATATAGAACTCACCATTAATAACATGCACGTTGACGCTGGCTCTCTCCGCCACAGTGGGCACGCAACTGTAGTTTCCAGAGTCGCTTGGCTTTGCATGGGTGATCCTCAATCTGTAACAGAACGAAAAACCGATATTAGTCAAAGCATAACCGGCCATTATTCCGTAAAATATTTAATTACCCGTAATTAGAAACACATTTATCGCATCGTTTGTGACAAACATATCCTCAATCTCTTTGGAATAAATAATATGCCGTCTCGAAAATCAATATTCCTCGAAAATTTGAATAGAAAAAAATTAAATAACTACAATAGAATTATATCTCTTTCCCTTATATATCACATATAATCCTCAAACGTTTCGAACGTTAAACGAACAAGTGTCCGTCATCCTTGGACGGAACAATCGATATAGGCGAAATATGAAATTATTACACCATTTCCTCAAAACATATACCGTGTTGGGATCAAGCGAACAACAGAGTCGTATAATTCGACTGTCATCATGTCCCATTTAATCGCGGCCACCGCCGACACGGCGAAAACACGTCAGACGCATAAATTTTGCCTAACAATTGCCGCCCACGAATGATAGAAATGGCTTTAATTTCGCGAGCGGTTATCGATACGCGGTTCCGGTATAAGGGTTCCACGAAATAATTCACGTCCAAATTAATAATGAAGCAACGATGATCTAACGGCTATTAATTGCCGGTTAATACCACTCGCGGTATCATGAATTCTCTCCTCGCCGCTCTATCGTTCGAGGGGAGGAGGGGAAAAATACAAGCGTTTCGTGATTCAATTTAAACGGGCGTTCATCAATCGAAACTTTAATTACTTCATAGTAATTCATTAATACGAATTACCGTAATTACTGGTAAAAAGCCCCAAGTATTTCACACTTCAGATAAATTGTGGATAAAATATATAATAAATGTTTTCTGTTCCTGAACTTATAAATTTCGAAGCGTTTTTTTTTTTTCTACGATTCGTAAAGCGGGTTTTTATTAAAAATTTACAGTAAATTTTTAATTACGAGTCGAATTATGCGATTCTTCTTCTTCTTTTTTTTTTTTTTGTTCCTTCGTTCTTGCGATTTCTTATATGAAATTCTTGTATTTAATTAACTTTAATAATGATAGATTGAAATAGAATCGTGTAATTTTTTTTTTCTAAATAGAATTCTTGTTAAAATTACCGTGTTTAATTATTTTTAATAGTTAAATATAAACAGGGAATTTGAATTGCACTGTCTGTATTTTTAAATGAGGTGTCTTGATTGAGATTTATATTAAGAAATTCTCATTTATCGTTGAAATTTATGGTTGTGCATCGAAGTAAATATTTGTATGAAATTTAATTTACATTTATTATACGTAGACTAATTAAACAATCTGAAAATTAATTCCCTGCAATATTAAATTATTTAATATGAAATTGTATTTTAATCTAGAAATGTATGTCACTCGACAACTTCAAATAATGACTTGAAAAAATTCTAAAAATCAAAATTTGCTAAAATTTTAGTTTCCGACAAATTAAATACTTTTTGAAAAAAAAAATACTCTTGAATATTCTAAGAGTATTTTATTTTATGAAAATTTTATAAAAAAACGTATCAACCATAAATAAATAATACAAACACAAAAATTAATTTTCACTACGTTCGATCAACTTTATATTTTTAATTAAAGAAGAATCGGTTACCAATAAAATATATATCCAACGAGAAACGTTTTATCAAGTAAATAGTATAGTTATCATTACTTCCATTTAATTACAATTAAAAGCAAACCAATAAAATTGATTATTAATAAAATATCGTGTTTAATAATTCAATTAATAACATGTATCATTGAACATAGGATAATAATAGTGATTGCATATTTTATTTAATGTTTTACTATTTTTTTCAAATTCTCTAATCCCTTTATTAACATTTTATATTAAATCAAAATATAGAATAAAATGGAATATAGTCTTGATTTTGCACCTATTTGATAAACTATTTGATAAACGTTTCTAATTTATTTTAACTTTAATACCCAATTTGTATCATTGCAAATTTTTATAAAATTCAAGAAGCGTTAATCTTTCTATCTTATTATAATCGATAATTATTTTTCCAGGATTGTATCAATTACACCAAATTTTCAACAACATTTAATCCAAACGATCAGCAACATCAGAGATAAAAATCTTCACACTATGACCATTTTCAGAAACGGTGGATATATATCAGGTATCATAGACAAGCGTCGTAAAATAAATCCCACAATCGTGTTCACCTAAGCGTATTATCCAAGAGATAGTGTTGTACATCATTCTTTTCAACCTCGTAATAATAATCCCAAATACTTCTCTTCTCTGGTGCAACATAATGTTTGGTACACATTGACGTTAGGGGAGTAACGTGTCGGTTGTAAGTAAAATAAATAGTCCCCTTGGGAGGGATATAGTTTCAGTCACGAAAAGCATTTTCGTATTTTTGTATTTCCTTCTGACTAATGACGATTGGAAATTGGTTGGAAAAGAGATGCTTATACTTATTTCTATTCAAGGATTGAATAAGTCTTTTTCTTATTAATTTTTACAAATTTCTATTGCAAAATAACAACACTTTCTATACTTTATTTCACAACGTACGAATTTATTGCATAATATACGATTAATTATTGATTAATTCTTTATTGACTATCCAATTGTTCCAAGATATTTATCCAAAAATGTGTAAAATTTATTTCGTATTATTCTCAAAATTCTTTCTCTTCGAATCAAATAAAGTTTTCCCAAACTACTAGTAGTGGATAAAAAATTCATCTCTCTAAATTACCCTTACGATGTGAAAATTGGATTATAAATCAATTCGAAGATGATCGTTTACGAAAGTTTCTTGGCGATGATTTCCATCTCAATAAATCGGAAATAAAGTGAAAAATAATAACGAAAATCGTCTTTCTGCAACGATCGAAATCGGTTGAACGTTGTTCCAATAAATTCTCGAATCGATGGAAATAATTCCACGTCAGATGCACCAGTCGTAGGACAATAGGACTCGTAAAGAAGTTCTGACAACTTTGTCTCGATAGATTATTGATTAATCATTTATTTGCCGTATTTCAGTAGTTAGTTTCATCGTATTGCACGGTAACGTATCGCACCCCTGAGGATAATGACGATCGTTTAAGGGATGTGGAACCGTGTCGATGCAATGCACCTGAACTCTGAATTTATGAAACAGCCTCAACGTTTATTCTTATAGTTAATAATTTAATCAAGCCTTTCTAATAAATAATATCCTCTACAAGGAATCTAGAAAAATCATCGAATCATCGAAGATATTAATTAAATTATAGTAATATTCAATAAGCTAAGAAACACCGATTATAATCATTCACGGATCTTCAACAATTCGTACAATCTTTAAACTTTAAATTCAAATTTGGATTGTAGCTCATGGATGAAATACTCCGAAGAAGGTTGAAGATGAAGGGAAAAAACAAGTTGGTGCGAATGAAAAGTGCATCAGCCACTCGAGATTTCCAACGTGCCTCAATATCTCCTAGGAATGTCTGAACCAAGTGGAAGAGACAGAAAAATAGAAAGGAAAAGAAAGAAGAAAGGAGTAACAGAAAATGCGGTGATATGTAGATAAATAGTTGCACTTTTGACTATACAGTTCAAAAATTGATATTCAACTTTTTTCTCACTATCTAATCCAATCCAAACTATATCTAATAAATTATTGTATTCCTTTTAAAAGAGCACGCTCAAACATCATCTTCCGTCTTTTCTTCTTCTCTCAATAAAACAAAACATCATTCTACATAATTTTTTCACACTCAAATTCACCTTCATCACAACAAATATTCGAGTATATTCCTTCTCCTTTTCATTATCAAATTCAAGATTAATTTATCCCCTATTTACCTTATCCAGACAGTTCCACCAAGTGGCACGATATTCTACCGGTCCTCCAACTATGGAGGAGACGCAGGGCAGTCCTTTGTCAGGCGGCCTATGCACCGTGAAGACGCATCGGGCATGCTCTGCATTTCTACGCTCTTGTCAGCCCTGCCGTTTGTGCGTCGCGGGAATATTGCACCCGTGCTGCGTCTGTTTTTGGACGTGATTGACGATTGTCAGCCTCGCTGTTTCACACCGACGAATTTACGAGGGTCCACTCTGAGCTCTCTCTCTCTCTCTCAGAACCCTCTCAAGAATCAGGAATTAATCGCCATTGCGCCCGTCATCTTTGGAAGAGGAATCTCTGGGTCAGGAATTGTCATCGAGGTATTTACGCGATATCGGTTCAATCGATGCCGGTAATTTTGATGGATGGCTTCGAAGATGGCGCCCTTACCACGATAATTGTGTAGAACATTGGCGAAAGAATTATTTTTTAGGAATTATTCTTTTTAGCTACGTAGCTACGTAGTTCTCTGTTGATTTTATGTTATCGACGATAATGATTTATAATTTTAATTTGACAAGTAACGATCGTTCCAAAAAAAAAAGAAAAAAAAGAGTGAGACTATTTATGGAAAATTTATTCAAGAAATTAGAGTATAGTGGAGAGTTATTGAACGTTGTTACGATAAGATGTTTCATAAACTTTGTAAATTTTTAATAAAGACAGAGATTATCGTTTTATTCCGTTTTCGTATGAATTCGTAACATGGACTTGCAATTTATACGTTTGACAGGCTAATTGTGTTAATTAAGGATTTCAGTTTCAGAATGTATGATCGCATACGCGAGTATAGAAATTGAATTTCGTGAAATGAATATAGATATTTTGCCTTTCATTATTCATTGTTCATTGTAATTTATGCGTTTCATGAAATAATTTGTTAATTAAGGATTCTAGCTTTCGATAGACGTGGATCGTTGATGTGAACCGTCAAGATTGAATTTTCCATGAATGTAAATTGTTCTACTTCTATTCTATTAATTCACAGGCGTGCTCGGTAATATCTTCAAATGTGTACGTAACTGTGTACGTACGATCAATCTCAAATACACCGTGTGAAATTTCCAAATTCAAATTTCGATAATAACTGGCACGAAAACGTCAAATAAACGTAAACTTGTAATCCTCGCGATACTAAATATTCAACAAATATACACATCATCGATAAAATAAATTTTCAAATTACTTCCAATCACTTATTTATTTATATCGAGAAATGTATCGAAGTAATGTATCGATTGATTTCTTTTTTTTTTTTTTAAATTTTAATATTTATACGATTGTAAAGTAAATTTATATTTCGCGCGCGATGAATAATATACACGCGAAGTGACACATTTTTCTCTACTTTTCGAGAATTGGCCCAAATGATCAGATTACGTGTCCCGTGCATTAGTGCGTTGAATAATAACTGCAGTTTCGATAAGTAATTTTGAATGTATGGGCAGGGATTTGGTTTAATGTAGCCAATACGTTGCTTGTTCGCTTCTAGTTTTCAAATTGAAACCTGGTTTCTGCCCTCAATCTTGATAACAACGTTGGTCAATGATTAATTTTTGAATTGAATTTGAGAGATTTTATAATATCCGATTATAATTTCCGATTTCGAAACTGCCACCTGATCCCCCCGTTTAATCAATAGGATTAAACATTTCATTGCTACAACTATTTCTAAATCTTTACAAAATGAAACATTTAATCTATTATTCTCCTTTCTCATTTATATACTCATCACCAAACTTTCACGTATTTCTTGAATATGTACTTTCCCTCGATAATATCTCTGAATAAATCGTAAGAAAAATGGAAAAATAAAAGGCTTACCTTGAGGTGAGGGCATCGCTCCATTCGGTTTCGACCGTGATACGAGGCTCGCCGTTCACGTCGTTCTCCGAATGAGGAGACGTAACCACTGGCTGGCTACCACGGTACCAAGCCACTGTGCCAAGGTCGTGAGGCCCTTGAGACATGAGGCAGGTGAGCGTGAGAAGGCTGCCGGTTTTCACGTAAATATCCGCTTGCCCGTTTATTCTGGCCCGTGCCTCTGTAAACAAAAATATATTTCTTCATTAGCTTACGTTCAATTATTTGGTTAATCCCTCTTCCCGATATCGACCCGTCTCGTTACGCAATTTCTATACGTACGATAATTTATAAACAATTTGAATTTACAATTATTACTATTACATTGAATATATTACAAAATTTCTATTCTACTATCCCGTGTATACGTGAATAAATAATTAATTCTTTTGGAATAAACATTCACATCGATTCAAAGTCCACGAATATTGAAATCGTTACAATGCTTTCAATGCGATTCGATCTCACTGCGAAACTTATTTCGGATACCGGTTAGATCAGAGCCGTGAAGAAAGATAAGAAGTCGGGATACGAGGCGTGTCAAATAGTCGGTAAACGCCGTTTCCCAGCCTGTGTCAATTTTAGAGGCTATTATCCCGATATCCGTTGCCGATAAATTATTCATATCGCGAGGAAATCGCGTGGTGTATAAGCAGCGAGCGTTCAGCTATCCTGGGGATTCAGTTCGACCTACTTTGTGATTAGCACGCGAATGTTTCCTCGGCGCTGTGCATTTATAATGACCGAGCTGGTAATTAATGTGCGAGCGAAATTGTCGCCGAAACGGAGAACGAGAGGATAAACTTCGCTGAAACATGCGCCGGTTATTAAATCGTTTAAAATTGTATTTCCAATATATATGTATGAAATTTTGGGTATATATATATATATATATACATATATGAATGAGATTAAAAGGATCGACGTAAATTATTAAATAGGATTTTGGATATCTACGATGATTAAACGAGGAGTTTTTTCAATTTTCTTTCAGGGGGATTTGTTTCGAGATATTTTATTTTTTTACGATTTTCTGTATCGTTTCTTTTTTTTCTTTTTAATTATTAGAGCAAAAGATAAGATTTTTCTAAGATGTTCTTTTCGAATCTGTTTTGTACACAATTTTTATACAAGATTTGTTCAAGATTGAAGAAGAATAGAATGGGGAAAGAAGGGGGAATGTTAGGATTGAAAAATGATTAATGATGAATTCGAATAATTGTAAAATTTGCAAAGATAATATTAAGAAGTCTAAAATTTTTAAAAGACAAATTTTTCGAGTATATTTTCAACGAAAATTCACGATTTTTTTAAAACCGTGTATAAAAAAAATCACATTTCAAATATTTAAATGCCATTTTCATAAACGATTTCGAATCTCCAGTTTTTCTATGTAAGCCATTTTTCGTTTCTGCCTTCTTTTTTTCCTCTCTTCTTTTTTTTTTTTTTTTTTTTTTAATATTCATCAATTTTACTATGACAAGCAAAAGGTCCTATCAGGCAACAGTTCAATGACTTCGAGCGAACAGAAAGAAGAATGTGTCTAGTCACCGTTGATGCATCAAATTCGTGCAAGAATAACGGACATATGATTCACGCCCGTTCCACCCCCACTCATCGGGGGAGGGGGTTGTGGATATCGATTTTCGTTTTGAATTTCAACCTGTTCCGTTAATACCACAATTTTTGCTCACTGATATTTCCTCGTATATTGTTCGGTATCACGGAACATTGTCCTGGTTAATTTGTCGATAAGCTATTGTACTGTTATTTTTTTTATTTATTTATTTTTTTTTAATTCAATTTAAAAACTGTGTAATCCTTTAATCTCCGATAAAATCGGATGAAAAATATGATTTTTTGATTTTTGCCTGATATGACTAGAAACGAGTCATTCCAACGTTCAGTTATTGTTATTTGAAAATATAAAAATGAAAATAAATTTACACGATGTCGAAAAAATTTGGACAACGTTTGTAAGAAAGTTATTAAGAATCATTTACATTATTCGGATAAATTAATCCAAAGTGGATTTTTTTAAAATTTAGCATTTTATAAATTACAAAAAAAAAAATTATAAAAAATACCTTGAATTATTCATCATTAAAATATCACAACTTATGCTCTTTGAGAGGCTAAATTATAATAAATTAGATTATAAAAGTGAGACCAATTTTCAGCAACTTTTCAATATTTCTTGACTCAAATTTTAATATCATAAAATATCACAAAAATCATTAAATTATCTATGCAATTAGAAAAATATCATGGACTTTTCAACGTTCTGAAACGTTTACGAAGGTTTACAAGTAAAAATTATTATCAGTGGCAAGAGAAAATAAGAGAAGATAAAAAGAAAATCTCACCAAAATTTCGAATCCTTTTATGTACGAAATCCTGTCTCTATCCGAAATATTCCGGTAAATATCGGGGAACAAACATTGGAAGGTATCTATTCGAAAGCTTTTGAACGAGCGACATCCTCTTTCTGCTGGATATCTCTCTGGATAGACGAGAGAAGGGGTTAAGAGAGAATACGTGTTCATCGATCGAACGTTGCCAAGATGTTCCCTCGTTTATCATCGTGGCCGAAGAGGACGATGGTATCGCGGAACTCGCGATTACACGAATAATCGCTCGATACGCGCGTATGGGGACGTTCTGCTATCTGACAAAAGCTGATCTGATAAAAAGATTTCGTTGGATTTATTGCCTCGATTCGTGACGCGTTATGCAGATACGCGGCAGTATCTGAAAGAAAAATCGTAAGTCGCGGAATAATTCGATTTAATTCGTCCTCTTGTCGAGAGAAATACGAATAAATTATTGATTTTAGATTTTGCCGAAGTTTTGCCGGAATTATCTGGATCGGAAGGTAATTCGAGGCAAGTAATAATTGTATTCGATTTATTTGATTTGAAACATTCTCTCAAGAAGCGGTTTCGTGATTGGCTATTTATTAGTGGGATTATAAGAAAATGAATTTATTGAAACTTTTTTTTATCACACGATTAATATCACAATACATTTTAATACTAAAAGAAGAACTTTGTATTATTAAATTTAAAACATTTAAAATTTAGAATAGAAAAAAATATTATGAACGAATAGTCAGAATAAATTCAGAACGAGAAAATAATTAAATTTCCTTCGATTCAATGTCTCTATTACATTTAATCGAATCAAAAAGTTGTGGATGTTTCGAATTATTATGAATTTTTCAATTTCACCAAAAAAAAAAAAAAGGAAGAATGTTTTATACACGCAATTCTAATTTAATATTCAAGAATTATAAATAGTTCGATTAAACAGAAATTTCATCGGAAAAAAAAATACCTCAGATATTTACATATCAATTAAAACTCGATCGTGAAAACACGTTCTTTCTGCGTGGCGCAGAAAATACACGCGGCAAAGTTTATTTTGTTTAAACAAGCGTCAGATGAATTTAATTGGTCGTCGAGATCGAAAAGTGAAAATGATGAAAAATTGGAATTGGAAATCAGTCGGTGGAACGTGTATGTGCACCATTTCGAATGGGAATGAAATAAAGGAATATGAATTTCCATCCTCACTTTTCGATTTCGTCACTGATTCGTGTTTCTCTGATCGACAAAGGATCATTTATTTCATTGGTGGCCTTTTGTTAAGGACAAATTGTGACATGGGCATAAACAAATGCCGGGTTATTGGAGAGGAAAAAAAAAAAAAGGAAAAAAAAGGTGGAAAAAAAAAAAAAACACGACAAAAGATTGCACGACAGAAATCGAGGGATGAAAAATAACGTTGTTATCGTGTATCGCGGTAAATTGTAGGAATGCGCTTTACAATAGAGTTACGGGATAAACAATTGAACAACCTGAATGAAACGAATTAATTTCACGAAATAAAGTGCGAATTAATTTATTTAAGTAATTTAGTCGGTATAATAATGCTGTGCGATTATTGGTACGTCAACAATACCAATAATACGCTGTATTATATGCTCGAATAATTAACAAAATAAATCAAAGTGAAATTTATCGAATACTCTCCTTTGTATAATAATAGATATATAATTTTGATGTTTTATAATTGATACGAAGCAAAGATAATAGTGAATTTTCAGAGATTATATAATATCCCTGATTTTACGAAGGAATTAAAATCTTGCCCACGTTCGTTCTTCATTTTTCTATCTCATTTTCCCTCTTCTTTAAATAAATAACATTTTAATGTAGACACATTAAAATGTTCGAATATTAAACGTTATCATTACTGAGGGCATTATTATTCAACGAAAGTTATGATGAGAGCAAAATTTGGAGGAAGAGAGGATTATTAAATTTTTCAATTGCACCTTTATCGCTGAAAAATATCGGTTATTTCCAGAAGATTCTGTGCCATAAGGACAAAACCACGTTGGCTGGGAGTAAATTTACCTGCGTTCATCGCTGCACAAGATTGCTCATCTTAATCTCGATTATCTATATTTTAGAAGAAAAGGCCTGGACGTAATAATATCGAGATATCGAGAGCAATTTTGCTAGAAATCGTGAAAATTATACTTTAATCATATACGCGGTGATACGAAGATAATCATAATCCTTTAGAGAATTTTTACATTCGAAGACAAAATATTGCAATATTTTTTAATAAGAACTTGAATAAAAATTAATCTTATGTATCGTACTATTTTTATGCTAATGCAAGTAACCTTTCTTGGATTTACTTTCGGATAATTTCCATATCAAATGTCAAAAGTGAATCTACAACAATTTTTTTGAAACACCTAAAAAATAATACTCCTACTATTTTCAATAGTAATCGATGAGGATAAAAGTGGAAAAATCTGTGGATGACACGCCAAGAAATACGCAAGAAATCATGCGTCCCTCATCTGAATGGAAAATACGTAGAAAATCCATTAATGCATAGGAGATAAGAAACGGACGAACGGTTTATTCGAATGTAAATTGCAAGATCCATCGAGATGAAGAAGGATTTTTCTCTCCCCGCCACCGAACCTTTTTTAATCTACGTTTAATGCGCGTTTTTATGGGATCGTTCACGCTTAACCGATGTTCGAGGCGCGGGATTATGAACGTAGAATAATCGTGCGCGGCCAGTCTCGTGAGGTATGATGCAGTTGCATTTCGTTCAATGATTATCTCGGACCGATCCGAGTGAATAACAATTCTA